CGTCGGAAGCCGTTTGGGTGGCCTCTATTGGCCGACTTGGGGCCCTCTTGGAATGCTCCAGGGCTGTCTTGGAGGCCATCTTGGGCGTCTTGAAGACCTCCTGGGCCGCCTTGGGGGCCTCTTGGGGCCGGCTTGGGGCCCTTTTGGGCCGTTTTGGGGCCATCTTGGAGGCCTCTTGGGCGATCTTTGGGGGCTCTTTGGCCGTCTCGGGCCGTCGTCGGAAGGCCGAAAATAAGCAAATGTCATAATCCTTCGAAAACCTTGGGGGAACCACTGTTTTTTGGCATTTGTTGTGGCCTTCCTGAAGGCCCTCTTGGAGGCCTCTTGGGCCGTCTTGGGCCAGCTTCGAGCCAACTTCAGCCATCTTGGTTGGTTCCTGGCCCGTCTGTCGCCGACGGAAGCCGTCTTGGGGGCCTCTCTGAACGGGCTTGGGGCCTCTTTGGGCGCTTCGGGAGGCCATATTGGGCGTCTTGGAGGCCTCTTGGCCTGTCTTGGGGCCCTCTTGGGATTGTCTTGGGGGCCCTTGTGCCATCAAGGGGCCCTCTTGGAGGCCGTTTGGGCGATCTTGGGGTGATCTTGGGGGCTTCTTGGGCCGTCTTGAGCCGTCCGAGCGCCGAGAAGAAGCAAATTCCAAAATCCTTCAAAAACCTAAGGAACATCAATGATTTGGGCCTATCCGGACTCTCCTGGAGGACCTCTTGGAGGCCTCTTGGGTCGTGTTGGGCCGTCTTGGGGGCTTCTTGGGCGAACTTGGAGGTATCTTGGACTCTTGGGCCGTCTTGGAGGCCGTCTTGGACCATCTTGGGCCGTCTTGGAGGCCATCTTAGACCATTTTGTGGGCCATCTTGGGCCAACGTGGCCATCTTGGAGGCCATCTTGAGCCGCCTTGGCGGATGTGTTCCGGGATTTGGGATTTTCCAGGTGACCGGCGGGACGGGCCGAAGCCCCAGGGGGAGTTCTTCTGGAAAAGAAATTAGATAGTCTGGCACGCCAGGCACCCCTGCGATGAATCGACAAGGGGCGGCGGATCGAAGACGCCTACGGCGAATCACCGCCGCCCCCTGCCTTTTTGGAAGCGCCTATGTGGCCGAACGTTGAGGCCAGACCTGCTAAGCTATCGGGCCATGTGTTCCCCGAATCGGTTTGGAAAGCCTTCGGGGAACATCTTGAAGGCCGTCTTGGCCGTCTGGAGGCCATTTTGACCCTTTCGGGCCTTTGAGAGGACGTCTTGGAGGGTTCTTGGGCCGCCTTGGAGGCCATCTTGAGCGTCCTGGAAACCTCTTGGGCCGTCTTGGGGGCCTGTTGGGGCCGTATCTTGGGCCTCTTGGGCGATCTTTGGGGGCACTTGGGCGGATTCGGGCCGTCGGAAGGCAGACAAAAAGCAAATGCCACGATCCTTCAACAACCTATGGGAAATCAATGATTTTAGCCTTTTCTGGCTTTCCTGGAGGCCCTCTTGGAGGCCTCTTGGGCGTCTTGGGCCATCTTGGGGCCATCTTCGGCCGTCTTGGTGGGCTCCTGGTCCGTCTGACGCCGTCGGAAGCCGTTTGGGTGGCCTCTATGGGCCGACTTGGGGCCCTCTTGGAATGCTCCAGGGCCGTCTTGGAGGCCATCTTGGGCGTCTTGAAGACCTCCTGTGCCGTCTTGGGGGCCTCTTGAGGCCGTCTTGGGGCCCTCTCGGGCCGTTCTGGGGCCATCTTGGAGGCCTCCTGGGCGATCTTTCGGCGATCTGTGGGGGCTCTTGGGCCGTCTCGGGCCGTCGGAAGACCGAAACGAAGCAAATGTCAAAATCCGTCAACAACCTTAGGAACATAAGTTTTGTTTGCCTTTTCTGGCCTTCCTGGAGGCCCTCTTGGGGGCCTCTTGGGCCGTCTTGGGCAGCTTCGAGCCAACTTCGGCCATCTTGGTGGGTTTCTGGCACGCCTGACGCCGTCGGGAGCCGTCTTGGGGGCCTTTCTGGGCCGACTTGGGGCCCTCTTTAGGCGCTTCGGGGCCGTCTTGGAGGCCATCTTGGGCGTCTTGGAAGCCATCTTGGGCGTGTTGGAGGCCTCTTGGACCGTCTTGGAGGCCCTCTTAGGGCCGTCTTGGAGGCCCTCTTGGGGCCGTCTTGGAGGCCATTTGGGCCGTCATGGGGCCCTCTTCGGGGTCTCTTGGGCGATCTTGGGGGCCTCTTGGGCCGTCTTGAGCCGTCGGAGCGCCGAGAAGAAGCAAAATCCAAAATCCTTTCAAAAACCGCACGAAAATCAATGATTTTGGCCTCTTCGGGCCTTCCTGGAGGACCTCTTGGAGGCCTGTTGGGCCGTCTTGGAGGCCTCTGGGGGGCCTCTTGGGCCGTCCTGGGCCATCTTCAGGCTATCTTAGGCCGTCTAGGGTACATCTTGGGCCGTCTTGGAGGCATCTTGGGGCCATCTGAGCCGTCTTGGAGGCCATCTTGGCCGTCTTGGAAGCATCTTGGCCGTCTTGGAGGCCATCTTGGGGCCGACTGGGGCAGGACAACCGTTTGCAACCACCTCTTCCGGGTGGCCGGCGGGACGTGACGAAGCCCCAGGGGGAGTTCTTTGGAAAAAAGAACTAACACCAAAACCGATAGCGTCTAGCACGCCAGGCACCCCTGCGATGAATCGACAGAGAGCGGCTGATTTAGTGGCCTTCGGCCCATCACGCCACCGTGCCTTGGTTGTCGGCCTGGCATCCGTGGTGCCTGGCTTGCGGGTTAGAAGTTACATGCCTCAAGTGGTATTTGGGCTTCTTTCGAGCTTCTTGGGGACCTCTTGGGGCCTTTTTGGGGGGACCTCCAGTCCCAGCTGCAGGTCACCCAGGAGTTCGACGCCGCGGTCGGCTTGACGGAGAACGACGGCAAGCGGCAAATGTGGGCGGGGTCTGGCACCGCCGAGCACCTGGGCATAATCGCTCAGCCAGCGGCCGGCCTCCGACCGCACTTGCCCCCGCCGGGGGACGGTTGGGATCCCGTGGTGGACGCGGCCCGGCGCGCTCGGTGCGTCCCGGGCGGAGCCGAGCTGCGGGAGCAGGTCGTGAAGTGGGCGCTGAATAAGTACATGTGGGCGGCCCCCTTTCGTAGAGCATCCGCCAGCGGCCCTGGCGAGGGAGTGCATGAAAGCCATTTCGGCGCAGAAATCGACATGGTGGTGCGCCCGCCGCATCTGGGCGGACAGGATCATGACCCACCCCAGCCTGGCGTTGCCGTGCCGAGCGTTGCAGGCGGCGCGCGGCCTCCCGTGGTCGAGCATGCTCGAGGTGGCTCTGGATATCCATTGTTGCAAGCTGGGGCTGCGCATGGCGGACTTGCCCGGCCCCCTCCCGGAGGGCATCTAGGTGGTCCCAGGGGTTGGCCTGGACCGCCGTGCCCGGGTGGCGGCGGAAGGGGCGGGGGTGCGCCACCTTGGAGGTGCGTTCGACGCGTCGAGCCCCCGGGGCCAGCATGTCCTTCGCGTCTGCGCGCGGGCCTCCCTGCTGCTGGAGCGCAGGGCTGGGGCGCGGCGCGGCGAGGAAATGCTAGGCGCGGTGGATATCGAAGCTTCGAGTCACCCGGACTGGTCTAGCTGGCGTCGCCGGCTTCCTCCGCGGAAGCGCTTCTGCCTTTCCGTGTGGCGGGCCGGGGCCGCGTGGACGCCGACCCGCCGTTGGTCTGGGCAGGGTCGATTAACGGCGTGTCCTTGGCGCGGGTTCGACAGGGCTTCTGCTCGCCATTTCTGGGCGGACTGCCCGAGGTTCCTCCAAGCCAGTAGGGCGTTGGAGGAGGGGCCGCTGGCAGTCCCCCAGGGGTGGAGGGGAGCTCAGCTTCGGGTGACGGTCAAGTCTGCTTGGGCTACGTATCACGCGGACCCGAGCCCACGCCGGCGAGTCCAGTTGCAGCTCGCCGCGGCGCAGTTGGCCCTGCAGGTCATGGAGGCTGACGGCGCGGCGCTGCAGTCCGCGGCCAACGTCGCGACGGCAGCTGCGGCGGGCGGCCCTTTCCTCCCCCCTCCTCTCGGCGGCGGCGGCGGAGGCGGCGGCCCCGTCGGCGCCCCTCCTTCCTCCGGGGGGGCGGATGGGTGGACTGATGCTCTGGTAAGGCGCCGGCAGGCAGAACCATCTGCCACGGCGGCCTCCGAGCAGGCTGGCCCCGCGCGCCCCGGCCAAAGGCCCGGGAGCATGCGGCAACGCCAGAGGACGCCTGCCGCATTTTCACTCTACTGCCTCTTGGGGGGCCTCTTGGGGGGTCTCCTGGGGCCTCTTGGGGGGCCTCTTGGGGGCCCTCATGGGCCCTGTTGGGCGCCTCTTGGGCCCCCTCTCGGGCCGCTTTTGGGCGGAAGGCTCGGATTATTGGTTCAGGCTCCCCCTCTTGGCCCCCTCTTCGGGCCTTTTTGGGGCATTCTTGGGCCGCCTTGGGAGCCTCTTGGGCCGTCTTGGCGCCCTCTTGGGCCGTTTCGAGCGCCTCTTGGGAGCCTCTTGGGCCGTTTGGGGGCGGTCTTGGGGGACTTTGGGGCCGTCTTCAACGCCGCGAATGCCGAAAAGTCGCGTATGATGAAAAATGCGCGTTTCCCCAATGGAATTCGACGAGCTTGGTCTCGGGGTCCATCGCGTGGGGCCTGATGAGACCTTTGCCCCCCGCCCCCCACCCCCCCACCTCCAAACCGGCCGGCCCGGGCTCTCGGGGGAAGCATCTCACACGCCGTCACCCCAAGGAGCCGGCGGATTCCGATGTGGACTCGAAGCCGAGGCAGCCCGGTGCGACGCGCACTCCGAGCCGATCTGGTTTTCCGATTCGTCGCGGACAGATTCTGCCCCTCACCGCCCACCAAACCACCCCAACCCAACCCGAAGGCCCCGATTTGCCCTCCATTTCCAGTGTGGGGGGGGGGGCTGTCGGGGAACATTGAAAAAAACACGCGGAACCCGTACCCCCCCAACCCGAAATTCTGACAAATGTCGGGTCTTCGGGTTGGGTTGAGAGGGGGTTTGGTAGGTAGTCAGCCCTTGCGCCCCCTGCGCGGCGCGAGGTCGACTCCGACGCGGACGCCGCGGAAATCCGCAGGGCCTACCGGAAGCTGGCGCTCGCGACACACCCGGATTCCCGTGGCGCCCTCGTTCTCTTCCCTCCGTCTCTTCTTCCTGGCCCTCCACCGCCTGGAGTCACAGCGCATAGTGAGGTTGAGCAGCTTTCATGTTTATCCTTGCACCCTTCCCCTTCGGCCCATCCGTGGCTTTCGCTGGCCGCGCCTCGCTCGATAAACGTCGACATGGCCTTCCAAGGCCCTGTCGTCCTTACCACGCATCATTATTATCCGCGTTGGCTGCAATTCTTCGGTAGCAAGTCATGGGACCCTTTTGTACCCTCGTAGCTCCGTTTTCAGAGTGCATATACGTCGATGAGCGCTTGGTCATCGATGAGAAAGCGCCGATGCAGCGTCGATGTAGCGACGATTAGCGTCGATCCGCAAGAGTCGACAAGATGGTACGGGAGGCTCCCATGAGTTGCCGCAGAAAAAACTGTCGCCCTCCCTCCTCCGTGTCCTCGTCTGCAACGTCCGAAGAAGAACCTGCATGGACATACTCCGAATTCCTGATTGATCAATTGGGGGGTGACAAACGTGAAAACGCGGCACCACCCCCGCGCCCCAGCGGGGAAGGGAACGAACCCCGGACCCCCCCAGGCGATTCTTAGGCGATCCGGAGTACGCTTTCGGAGGTCCCCTCAGATTTCTTGGTTCGGAGGTGGACAGACCTCCCACCCTGACACGTCGATTAGTGAATTGTCCGTTTTCTGTTCTCGAGAGGGCGCCGCGGCCGTCATTTCCAGGCTTGCGCCCGCCAGGTTTGGGCCCGAGGTTGTTTTCACTAAACCACGTTTTACTAAAGGGAGGTCTGTCTATCCCCGATTCTTGGTGGATCCGCGCTCGACCCTCTCTGGCGCGCCCCCGCCGCCGCCCAGGGCCCGCCCCGGAGGCGCGGTCCGAGTGCCAGGCAGGGGAGCCCAGCGTCGGCCCATGCGATCCGCACGGACCTCGGACAGGTTACCTCGGCTGTTTGCCGTTGTTCCCCACATTCCGAGTAGGGTTTTTGCTTCCCCAGAGGGCACTTTCATCCTTCTCCTCCTCCTCCTCATCCTCATCCTTTTCCTCCTCCTCCTCCTCCTTCTCCTCCTCCTCCTCCTTTTCTTCCCCCTTTGCCTTCCCCTCCTGCTAACACTCCCAATACTACCACCACCACTACCACCACTACGACTGCTGTTACTACCCCCCTCACTTCCTGGACATGGAGCCGAGCTGGAGGAGCAGGAGGCCCCACCTGCGGGAGGGGCGCGCCGCGCCGAGGGGGTCTCAGCTCTCCCCCCAGAGGGCCGAGACCCCTGTTCGGGCCCCAGCAGCATGCGCACCGCGCCACCACAGGCAGTCTCACCTTCCCTCTCCCTCCCCTCGGTCGGACTGCCGTGCCGCTATTCGGTCGCTCCTTCCGGTTGGTTCTGCCTCCTTGGTTTTTTTTTCTGTGCATGTCTGCTTGGTGCCTCTTTCCGCCGGAGGTGCCTGCTTGCCTCCCGGTGCCTCCTGCCTCTTGGTGCCTCTTTTCCTCTAGGTCCCTCTTGTCTCTGCCTCTTGGTGCCTCCTTCCGTTCGCTCCTCGGTGCTCTTCTCTCTATTGCCGGCGCTCCTCGGCGCTCCTCGGTGCTCTTGGTGCCTCCTTCCGTTCTCTCTCTATTGCCTCTTGGTTCTGTGGCCCCTCCCGCCGGAACTGCCAGCGCGAGGGGCCCCAGGGCCGCAGCCTGCGGGAGACAGGTCCGCAGCGCGAAGCTCGGGGCAGGAGGAGGGGGGGGAGGAGGAGCAGGAGGAGGAGGAGGAGGAGGAGGAGGAGGAGGAGGAGGAGGAGGAGGAGGAGGAGGAGGAGGAGGAGGAGGAGGAGGAGGAGGAGGAGGGAGGAGGGGGAGGAGGGGGGGAGGGGAGGAGGAGGAGGAGGAGGAGGAGGCGGAGGAGGAGGAGGAGGAGGAGGAGGAGGAGGCGGAGGAGGAGGAGGAGGAGGAGGAGGAGGGAGAGGAGGAGGGGGAGGGGGAGGGGAGGGGAGGAGGAGGAGGAGGAGGATGAGGAGGAAGGAGGAGGAGGGAGGAGGAGGAGGAGGGGGAGGAGGAGGGGAGGGGGAGGGGGAGGGGAGGGGGAGGGGGGAGGGGGGAGGGGAGGGGAGGAGGAGGATGAGGAGGAGGCGGAGGAGGAGGAGGAGGAGGAGGAGTCGGAAGGAAGGAAGGAAGGAAGGAAGGAAGGAAGGAAGGAAGGGAAGAAGGAATGGAGGAAGGAATGGAGGGAGGAAGACGAGGCCGAGGAGGAGGAGGAGGAGGAGGTGGACGAGGAGGAGGAGGGGGGGGAGGAGGAGTGCGAGGAACCCTGCCGGAAGCGGAGCCGCAAGGGCGCCACGCGCGCAGGACAAGGCCGCCGGCGACGCCCGGCAGTTCCTGCGCGTGGCGCGCGCCTACGCCACCGTCGGCGACCCCCGCAGCCGGCAGGCCTCGCGCCCCCCCCTCGCCGCCGGCGGCCCGCTGCGGCGGCCGCGGGCTGCCCGTGGCGGCTTGCTGTTGTCCGCCGCGCCCCGTCTCGGGGACCCCCAGGCCGGGACCACCACGTTTGGTCCGTCGGCGGCGGGGCGGCGATTTCCGCTCCAGCGAGAAGCTATAGACAGGGCCACTGACTAGCGAAGTGGCCGGCGAGCAAAGATCCGAGGCGGGAATTTACACATGTGGAGATCAATGTTTGGAGACCTCAGCAGGCGGCGGATCGGAGGTTGGGGGGTGAGATTGCGGTGTAACGGAATCCCCCCACCGGGAAATCGAGTTTCGAGTTCGTGCTCGTGTCGTGCGTGCGGGCGAGGCGAAGCTGCGTGGGCCAGCGAGAGGAATTCACTCTGCTGTCGCTAGGGGTCCGCCAACACAAATGTTTCCCCCCCCGGCCTTGTCAAGCGGTAGCCCACGTTGTCCCGTCGGTTGCCCGTCGGTTGCCCGCCGGTAGCCCACGTTGTCCCGTCGGTTGCCCGTCGGTGCACCCATCGTCGACTGGGACGTCGTGGGCTGAGTGCCGCGTCGCGCAGCGGCAAACCGAACGACACAAGTCGCCCAAGCGAAGAAACAACAAAAATCCGCCACGTCATCCACACCATCATCGCCCATCAGCACCACGTTCATCACAGTTGTCGTCATGAGCCACCCCCCTCCCCCCACCCCCCCACAACCTCCTTATCACCCGCAGGGTGGTCGTATAGGTATGGATATATTCTGGCCCCCGGGTGCCCAAATATCTCCATACCCACCGCCCACTGGGGCGCCAGGGCGTCGGTTCCCAGGCGGTGGATATGGATACATCCCCGCCTCGCACAAGGGGGAAAGGGGGAACGGGGGACGGCCAAGAAGAAAAAGGGGCGCTCCGACGCCGAAGAGTTCGACGAGGATCAGCCGGGGGGGGGGGCCGGCCGGCACGAGCCCGTGCCGCTGATTACCCTTCTCCCGTGTTCCTCCTTTTCTTGGGGCCTCTTGGGAGGCCTTCGTGACCACCACTGGATTCGCCTCGAAATTCTGGTCAGGTCGCACCCCAGGAGAGGTCCTGGGGGCAACGGCATCGGCGCCTCTTGGTTTCCACCGCCAGATGGGGTCGGGGGATCGGGCCGCATCGTCGACGCATCGGCGATGCGGATTGACGTGGATCGCACACGGACGCTGCCACTGGTGGAGCTCCCCATTGAACCACGGAACGTGTGAGAGGTGTGTCGGAATGGGCGGAGAACCGCATGCGAACCCCGCCACTAGGGACTAGGGAGTAGGGTCTTCGATGGAGCTCCTTGTGGGGACCACGAGACGGTGAAGGGTGTGCCGTAATGGACATGCGGAGGGCAGTGGCGGGGATGGGAGAAGGGGAACATAAGGAAGGGGAGGAAACAATGATACGCGGGGCGGTGTCTGTCAAAACGGGGACCCTGCTTCACAGGATGATTGGACAAAATACACCCCCCCCCGATGGAATAAAATCTTCGATGAGAGTGTGGGTGGTACCCTTCCGGCCACCTAGGAATCCCGAGTATCACCACCATCGCCGAGATCAGGATCATGTGTCCTCGGTGGGGGCAGGCCGACGACGTTGGTGTTGGTAGCAACCGTTCTAGAAGCTTTAAGGGGAGCTCCACCGAGGGTCCCAATGGCAGGAATCGCATGAGGTTCCCGCGCATTCCGGCACATCCCTCGCAGGGTTCGTGGCCACATGGGGAGTTGCACCGAAGGCCCCAGTGGCAGGGTTCGCATGCGGTTCCCTGCCCAGTGTTGACACACCCCTCAGACGATTCGTGGCAGTTCCACCGAAAGCGGTGCCACAACGCGGTGCTCACAACTAGGGATGGTTGGGTCTTTCGGCTGGCTAATTTTCAAAACGGAATTCCCACCTGAATTGCGAATTGCGGGCCCGGGAACGCTCGTTTTCGGGGGGCGCTCTCCCCGCGGTGGTGCTTGCGGGAGCTGGTCAGGACGGGGCTTAGGACGGGAGGGTGTATTACAGCCTCTTTGGTACATACTGGGCTAGTACAGATCCTCCTCCCCCTTCCCATCTTCCGGCACTGGCCGGCGGCCGACGCTTGGGGCCGCGATAAGTGGGGCGGCGATGAAAACGGTGGGGCAGCGAGGGCTGTAGAAAAGGGGCCCTGAGGGGGCCCTCAGGGCCCAGAAAGGAACCTCTGGGGCCCGAAAAGGGACCATTTCTCCCGCCCCCCATCTTTATCGCCCTCCCCAGCAAGCGACGCCCAACTCATCGGGCACCCGACCGCGGCCGACGTCGGACATCCCGCTCTGTCCAGGGCAGCGCGGGAGGGCGGAGGGTCTCCCCTCCTTCCCTCGCTGATGCCAGGTCTGGCCCGGCCTGGGCTCTCTCGCAACCACGCCCACTTCGGGTCCCAATTCAAGACGCTTCGCGTAACCCCACCAGGATTAATTATCTTGCTTGCTGCCCCAAGCTTGTTTCGACCCGCTCTCTGGAATCGTCCTTGGAGCCGCAGATAAAAAAATGACCCCACCAGCCATCCAGAAACGATGCCTGGGCGAGTTGCCTTGACCACAGACATGAAGGAGCATGCAGTTACATAACGGGCTGGGGACGCCGCCATACCCCAAGAGGGGAAGGATGGAGGAGGATTCGGAGGAGCAGTGGGAGGGGGGGGGGGAGGGGGAAAAAGGGAGGAGGGATGAGGAGGAACAGGCGGAGGAGGGCGAGCAGAACGGCCAAAGGCTTCTTGAATGCCTCCCGGAGTCTCTTCGGATGTCTACTGGAAGTTTCTTGGAGTCCTGTTGGGGCGTCTTGGGGGCCTCTTGGCGGTCCTGGCGGCCTCTTAGAGCGTCTTGGGTGCCACGGGGGAGCCTATCGAGGGTGTCTTAGGAGGCTCTCTGGAGCTTCTTGGGGACCTCTTGGGGGCCTCTTGGGGCCTCCTGGGGCGCTCTTGGTGCGCCCTTGGGAGCATTGGGGCCGTCTTGAGGCCATCTTGGAGGAGATCGATCAAAGAAGGGGGGGGGGGGGGGCAATTAGGGTCCCCCCTTCTGCAGCTCCTAAGCTCGCCTCTGCGCTCTTGACTCGTGGGGCCGTCTTGGGAGCAGTCTTGGGACCCGAGGGCCATCGGAAGCGAAAGGGCGAGAAGGCGAAACAGCATTGATTGTCCTAAGGTGTTGGAAGGATTTCGGCCCCTTCGTGGCTCGCTTGTGGGTGCTCCGTGGCCACTAAGAGCCGTCTTGGCGCGCTCTTAGGGCCTCTTGGAGCGGTTGGAAGTTATTTTGCGAGATATTGAGCAATATTGGCAATCATCTTGCGCTCTCTGCAGATGAGGCCTTCTTGGAGCCATCCCAGGCCACCTTGGAGGACCTCCCCTCCCTCCATACCCAGGGGGAGGGGTGGCAGGGGGAGGAGCAAGCCACTCTCTGACGGGGAAGAAAGGGGTTTGAAGAGTAAACGTTCTGGACCACTCACGCCCAGGGGGCTGGTGGGATTGGGCAACGCCCACGACAACCAAGCAACCAGGGCTGGACCTGAACGTCGTTTTTCGTTTTGTGTTCGTCTTGTTGTTCGTTTTGCCCTACCTTCTCTCCTGTACCTCCCTGGCAACACGACAAACAAAACACGGCCGAAATCCAGCAACACAGCGTTCAGGTCCAGCCTTGCAAACAACCTCTCGTCCAGCGGTGCTGCCAGGGTTGCCCTGGTGGGTGCTTTTGCGCCCGCTCCTCTCCTCCGCGCCGTTCCTTCTGCGGCCGTCTCCCCCCCCCCGCGTCTCCTGTCGCTCCCTGCTCGTCCCCGCGCCTGCTCCTGGGGGCGTGATCTCATACGCGGGGTCCGCCCCCCTCCCCTCCCCCTCCCCTCCCCCTCCGCCTCCCCCTCCCCTCCTCCTCCCCTCCCCCATCCCCTCTCCCTCCCATCCCTCAAGCAATTTGGGCGCAAGCAGGAGCAGGGGCCCAGCGGCCCTAGCTCCCCACGCGCACAATTCTCGGGGCTTCCTCGCAGCGCTTGAGGGACCCATTCCGAGGGCCAAGCCACAGCCCCAGGTTTGTGACCAACACCGAGACCAGAGTTCGCCATGTCGCAGTTGTGGACCAGATGTGATCAGTGCCGCCGATGCGAGTGGAACACCATCATTGTCAAGCAGGGGCACGTGTGCCCAGGGTGTGGGGCGGCGATCACGCTTTTCAAGCCAGCAGTACGTCGGGTACATTGGGAGGACGAAGTACGGCCCGACGCGACCCCGTCTCCCGCCGCTGCTCCTCAGCGGGGCCGCCAGCGCAGCCACTCTCCCAAAGGCTCATGGCGCGGCGGGACAGCCAAGGGATCGCCAGTGAAGACCTCGCCAGGCACCACCGTGACAGAGCTGCTCCAGCAGGCGGCCCAGGCCACCGAGGACGCCGTGCTGCAGGAGGCGCTCAAGAAGCAGATTGAGAAGATCAGCTCCCAGGCCAAGGCCGAGTCCGAGTCGTCGGTGTCCCCGTCCGAGGCGCTCCGCAAGGCCGACGGCGCGTGGAAGAACGCGGAGCACCACCACAACCAGTGCGTGGACAACGTGCTCCGCCTGAGGCAGAGCCTCGAGGCCGCCGAGGCCAAGGAGGGCAGGGCTGCCGTGGCCTTGGCGCAGGCGGCAGCGGCCAAGAAGGCTGCCGCCCACGCCGTCGCGAAGGCGGAGGGCGTGGGGCCGCCCTCAGAGGAGCAGCCCACGACAGCCATGTTCAAGGTCGAGTGGGACGAGGGCTTCTTCAATTCGTTGGACGAGATGGAATGCACGCCTGAGGAGCGCCGAGCGTTGGACACACTCCATGAGCAGCTCAAGGGCGTCAAGACGGACCTGACGGGCAAGGAAGCAGAGATCAAGGCCTGGCTCGACAATGCTAGGAAGATGCAGAATGACATCACCGACCGCCTCACGAAGAAGAAGAGGAAGAACGACGACGGGCAGGCCGCAGCGGCCGAGGAGGAGGCCAAGCCGGAGGGCGGGGCCAGCGCGCCGACGGACACGGCGCCCAAGGCCACGCCCCAGGAGGCAGAGGCCCCCCAGGCGACTGCGGAGAAGATCGAGTCAGAGGCCAAGAAGCTGTCGCAGGCCAAGTTCATCGCCAAGGCCGAGGCGGCAGCAGCCAAGGCCAAGGCCAAGGGGAAGGGCTCTGAGGCCGCTTCTTGACTATCGCGGGATCAGCGAGTACACACCGAGGGCACCACGACATTGTTCTATGCTAATGTCACCGCCTTCACTCCCAAGGTGTGGCAATACCTCCAATTAAATTATTGCAAGTACGAGTATTGGGCCTGGGCAGAGACTCACATTCACTCCGAGTCGGAGCTCAGAGAGTGGGACAAGAAGGCGAGGGGGGCTCACCTTCGGCTTCATCACAATGCGGCCCGCCCCTCATCCAGATCTGTGGCAGCGGAGCATGAGGAGCGGGCCAATGAGGGCGGCGAGTTTTTCATGGCCCAGCAGCACCTCCAGGCCCATGTCCTGCCAGAGGCCAAGGTTGCTGCTGGCCACCTGCGTGAGGCTGGTCAGACCAGTCTCGACGGATTTCTTCCAATGGTGCTGCACATGGCTGGGTACTCCATCGTCGTGGTGGTGTTTTATGCCCTGCCGTGCACCCAGATGAATGGCCACAATAAGGTCAGATTTCAAAGGCTCGGAGGTCTCTTGAGGGCCCTCAGGCTCCCATGGGTGGTCGTGGGCGATTTCAATATGGAGCCTGACACTTTGGCCGCCAGCCGTTTTGTTCAGAATGTGCAAGGGGTCATTCGTACGGCTGGCCCCGAGGGCACCTGCGCCAACCATCAGGGGCGCGACAGGGTGCTCGACTACGTTGTGTGTAGCCCTGAGGCCACGCCGTTTCTCAAAACCATCTGTGCTGTGCGTGCGGTCCCTTGGAAGCCTCATCAGGGTCTTGCTTTAGTGTTTAGGAGCTCTGGGCTCCAACTTCTCACCCGCTCCCTCGTGGTCTCCCCCAGGCTTCCTCAAGCCCCGAGGCCCAGCAAGGAGCCCACGTTAGGTTCTAAGTCGAGTGTGTCCAGGGCCCGCCAGGGACTTGCCCAACAGGAGGCCCTGGAGGCACGTAAAGCTAGGTTTACTGAGCTGTTTGGTGATTGTTTTCGAAGCCCTGGGGTCCCGTCGTCGTCGGAGGAGGGTGTTGGTCAAGCCCCTCCCGATGAGGCCGATGAATCTCACGATTGTTGGCCCGACGAAGAGGACGACCCGTGGGCTGACCAGCTCAATTTCTGTTCCGACAGGGAGTTGAGTAATGCCCTCAACACTCCCCGTCACCCCAACCTTCCCGACCCAAGCTCGGAGGGTAGTGGCAGTGCTGCTTCGAGTCAGGAGAAACAACATACCTCTGGGCACGTACCAGTTCAGTGTAGTTCCCCTCCCAATTCGGGCCAGCCCCCCCCACTGAGTCCACAGGAAGATTTAAATCCCGATTTAATCCGGTCTGCTTTTCAGTTTTCGGGCCCTGAGCCCAGTCCGTTACAGGCCCCTGAGTGCGACCCCTCGCTGACGGCTGCGTTTCAGATCCCCAGCGAGTTTTGGGTCGAGAGCAGACGTGAGGTCGGATTTGCCTCGGGGCAGGACTGTATTCATTCTCTTTCTCCGTCCCTCCTCAAGTCCGTAGCTTTTCGGCTCGAGGCCTCCCACTCTACTGTAGTCTCAGGTATGTATGCAGCTTGGATCTCCACAGTTGAGCTCAGCATCACCAGACACCATGGCCTGGACCTCCCTCGCACACGGCGTGCGCACGGCGCGAGGCTGGAGGAGGGCCCTGTCAGGCGAGCAGCTCACCGCAGACAGGTCCACCTACGGGACCAGCGGGCGCAGTGGTGGACGCAGGTTCACACCATCGTCGCGGCCGTCGCCCGCCATCGCACGCGCAGCAACGGCCACCAGCAGCTGGAGCTGTACCAGGTCGCGGCGCAGAAGGCGGCGGTGGATCGACCAGACGGAGCTCACACAGCGCTGCGTCAGGGTCTCGACCCCCCGTGGCACGAGTGGATCAGGATCCTTGACAACAAATGTCAGATCAACCCCGCTGTGCTGGACTCCTACGTTCACGCAGCAAAGAAGGTCATGCAGCGAGCGCAGAGGCTGGCCGTTTTGGCGGCCATCCAGGACTTCCGCGCGTGGGTGGTGGAGCCCGAGGCTAATGGCATTCTCCACAAGTCTCTGAAGAAGGGGCCTCTCCCGCCTGTGGAGATCGTGGTCGGCCAGCAGCTGATCTACCACCCCAAGGACCTCATGGACGCGAAGGCCAAGAAGTACCAGCAGCTCTGGGCCCCCTCGGCACCCAAGTTGCAGGATGTGCGTGAACTCTTCAGGCAGATCAGGCTCCGTGCCAGCGACGACCCCCTGCCGCCGCTGCACGTCGCCGACATCGGCAAGGCGGCCTCACGTATGAAGGCCAAGGCGGGCATGGGCATCGACATGGTCACCCCCGTCGACTACCAGAGGCTTCCCATGGAGGGCCAGGCGGAGCTGCTCCTCATCCTGGAGGCTGTGGAAGCCACGCTGGCGTGGCCAGCACAGACGTTGGCCGTCATAGGGAAACTCACTCCCAAGAAGACGGCAGGCGACCGAGCCATCGGGCTTGTATCGATGCTTGGACGGCTGTGGTCTCTCATGCGTGAACCCACAGTTCAGACCTGGTCGGTCGAGAGTGCTCGCCACTGGGACGCCGCCCTGCCAGGCAACTCCTGCCTGCTGGAGGCTTTCCTGAGGGCGCTGGACGAGGAGCTGGCCCACGCCATGGGCATCAAGTACGGCCACGGGATGCTCGACATCGCCACGTTCTACGACAGCATCCCGTGGGACATGCTAGTCGCCGCAGCATTGCGGCTAAATTTTCCTCCTGTTATCCTATACTTGGAATTGCTACAGTGCGCTGCTCCCCGTTGCCTGGAGCAGGACAGTGCTGTGTCCGAGATGTTCGACCCGCAGCTCAGCGTAGTGCAGGGGCTCCGATCGGGGACCCGCTTCGCCAAGATGATGACCCACCACGTCATGGTCACGGTCACCACAGCCCATCCGAGGATGGGGGCGAGGTTATGGGTGGACGATGTCTCGGAGACATTCAAGGGCTCCAGCAAGGCGGTGCGCCAGGAGCTCGCCAGTGGCATCATCACCACGTGCCGTGAGCTGCAGGCGAGGAAGCTCAAGGTTGCCGACAAATCGGTCGTCGTCTGCAGCCTCATGAGTGACGCGCGGGCGGTCGCCCGCTTGGTCCGACGAGCTGGATTTACGATTCGGCCAGTGTCCCAAGCCACCTACCTCGGCATCGACTTCGGATGCGGCAGGAGGGTGAGGGCCACCAGGGTGCTGCGTGAAGCGAAACATCGCCTCATGAGCATCAAGATCCGCAGGTTCACCAGAGCCACCCGCCAGTACAGCGCCATGTCCAAGCTCCAGCGCCAGGGAGGGCTCCCTGCAGGCGTCTACGGCCATCAGGTCCATGGGCTCTTCGGCGAGCAGCTGACCAGGTGCAGGCGGCGCTTGGCTCAGACGTGCGCCTCATCGGCACGCGGCCGATGCCTCACCACGGTCCTGGCGCTGCGGACCCCTGGCGCTGACCCAGCAGTACTATACCCTGTGCAGACGGTGGACACTTGGCTCAAGATCTGGAGGGATTGCCCAGGTATCAGAGCGGGTGTTCGCAAGGCGTGGCCGATCATTTCAAAGCAGTTGCAGGCCATACCCGTCCCAGCACAGGTACGACAGATCAGAGGCCCGACGGGGGCCATCATACACACGCTGCTCAGGCTTGGCTGGACTCCACACGACCCGTCCACGTGGTCCTACCAGACAGGCCCCGACAGCAGTGAGGAGTGGCAGTTCCCAGATAGCATCTACACAGGCAACGCGCATGTGGATAGACATGATCACTTGCTGGCGGATGTACGCAAGTTCTGTGAAGCCCAGCTCTGGGCCCAGGCAGCACGTCACTTCTGCGGCGGGGGCCTGGAGATGGGCGTCGACAACACCTCCTACATCCAGCTACTCAAGCACCTGGCGCAGGCCCCCAACGGCAGAAGGCTGTGTGAGATCATGGTCCTTGTGGCCTCAGGGGGCATCTGGAACAACGAGCGCAAGAAGCAGGAGCTCAAGAACTACATGGGCACAGACAAGTGCGACCGCTGCGGCACCGAGGTGGACACCCCGCTGCACAGGTACTGGCAGTGCTCGTGCAATGTGGACGCCAAGCCGTACACCGACTCCGATGACATGTGCACTCAGGCCGTCACGCAGTGCAACACCGCCGAGGCCTTCTGGCTTCGAGGACTTCTACCTGCCCCGTGGACGGAAGTGAGCCCACCGCCTGCAGAGGACGCCTGGCAGTTCACTGGCTTCCCGCACCTAGAGCCAGGACTGTTTGGCCCAGGGTCGCCGTCCGACCCCGTGCTGATCTTTGGCGACGCGAGCGGAGGGCCCGACAGCCGCAGTCCGAGGCTTCGGCGTGTGGGGCTGGCCATCACGTGTTTTGCCAGCCTGCAGCCCACCATCGTTCCGCGTGGCTCGATCTTTGGGCCACTTAGCGGTGCGAGGCAGGTCGTTGCTAGGGGCGAGCTGAAGTGTTTATTTCTGGCCCTCTGGGCCACAACGCAGTTTCTCACCTTTGTCACTGATTTTGCGGATGTTGTCACGGGCTGGTACGAACAACGGTTTCGCCAGCCAAGGGGTTCTGACGCCGACCTGTGGGCAGCCATCGGCGACCTCATGGCCCACAGACCGTTTCATCATGTGTCAGTCCTCTTCACACACTCTCATTTGACGGCCACACAGGTGGCCGACGGTCAAGGATTAAGTACGTTGGTGCTCGGCAACGCTGTCGTGGACGAGCTTGCGGGCCTGGCCGCCGCCCAGGCCCGAGTGCCCGAGGAACAGCGGTACCGTCTGTTGCTGCACGAGCGGCGCGCACGTTTGGTGCGCCTCCGCCTCCTTCGTGCTACTGTTGATGCTCTGGCTAAAGAAAAACAGCTGGAGCGGAGTGGGGAGAGAAAAAGGCGTGGAGGCCCTCCGCCTCCCCCCCCCCCGCCTCCCCCCTCTGCTGCTGCTGTTGCTGCCCTCTTGTCTCGCCATCGGCTGTCCGATTGCCGAAAAAGATGCCTGAGATGTCACGGCTCAGCGTCCGTGGACACTTTAAAGGAATGGCACGCCTCGGAGTGCCACAGCTTAGTGAATGTGAATGGTCTGATATACTCGCCTCCAGTCGGAGGCAGGATCCACGTCGGGGGGGGCTGGCTGCATCCCTCTCACCACCTCAACGTGCACGCCTCCCTGAATTGTTGGTTCTGTGGGAAGTGCGGGGCCATCGCTGACAAGCAAGTCCGTTCGCTTGCTAAGCCTTGTACCAACAGGTTGTCAGCCACTGGCCGTGAGTACCTCAGAAGAATTCGTCAAGGGCTCCCCCCTAAGGTCCTCAGCAAGGCCGAAATGGCCCAGCGAGGCCGAGGGTAGCATTGCATGGATTGGCATCGCCAGTGGTTCCTATTCCTATTCCTATTCCTATTCCCTCTCCCTCCCATCCCCCTCCCCCTCCCCTCCCCTCCCCTCCCCCTCCCCTCCTCCCCTCTCCCATATTTTCCCCCTCCCCCCCCCCTCCCCTCCCCCTCCTCTCTGGCGCGGGTAGCCCCAGATGAGGCCTTCGGGCGGCGCGGACAGGACCTGAAGAGACCCGCAAATTCCCAAAACACAGTCCGGGAGCTGGGGACGGTGCCAGGGACACTTCTCGGCAGCCTTGTGTCGCGACGACCCCGGCAGTGGCTTCTGCCATTGCATGGCTCGCTTACAGTCAATCCGCACAATTGGGATGGGCAAGGTTCCCAAGGGTACCCTTGCATCCTTGCCTCCTCGGTCCATCCTTGGCCACTTTTGCTGGCCGCGCCCCGCTCGCTAAGTGTCGGCATGACCTTCCAAGGCCCTTGAATCCCTGCCGCGCATCAATTTGATTCGGGTTGACTGCAAACTGGAACGAAGAAGCCGTCCGCCCGCACGAGTTTCGATCTTCGCGACCAGACCCCGGGCTCAAGAAAGGCTGCGAGTTGCCCGGGGCGCGAGTTGAGGCAGTTGGCAAAGCCGAGGCATACAGTCGGATCGAGGTACAAGGTCGAGGTCGGTTCGGGGAGGGTGTCCTGATGTTGTTCGTGTCTGTTGGATGTTCTTGTGCATCCTGGGAGGGTACCCTTGCATGTTCTGTGTGTGTGTGTGTTTTGGCAGGTGGAGGGTCTCATGTTTTTGCAGGATGTTTTTCTGTCATAGGTTCGGTTATTGTTGTCGTCTTTATCATCTGAGCGACGAAAGAAAACGGGTTCAAAACGGGATCAACAGCGCCGACATTGGCGTGCAAGTTGCCCGCGTGAGGTGGCGCGTAAGCACCCTCGTCTGAATGTAGCGCGCCGCGCTGGCGGTCGGCGTGAGCCGCCGCATAAGGTCGCTGTGCCATCTTGCGTAAGACCATTGCTGTATCGTCGCCTATCTGGCGGTCTCTTCCTACCGCTCTTCTCCCCTCCTGTTTGAGGCTCGAGGGCCTAGGTTGTCATACGGTCATACGCGTGTGGCTCTCTCTGGAGACCCCCTGGGGGCCTTCTGCGACTAGGCCGAGAGGAGTAAGGAGGGAGGAGGAGTCAGGAGGCGTCAGGTCGGGGGGAGAAAGACGGGGAAGGGAGGAGGAGAAGGAGAAGGTGGAGGAAGATGATGATAACGTGTGCTGACCAAGTGAAGGATAATGGAGCTGTACACCGAGGACATTGTTTTGCCCCAGGGCCAGAACGCCTGAACTTCTCGACTTGTTCCATGTTGCTGGCGGTCTCAAGTCCTGGCTGGCACTGGTGAACTAACTTTATCCCGCCGGCGTGGCTCGGGAAGGAGGGTGAGGAGGCAGAAGAGGAAGAGACGGTCACCCCGCGCCCTGTTCCGCTAGTGATCTGGATAGGAGGCCATATGCGAACCCTACCTCACCCCCCCCCTTTAGAAATCGTGCGTTTGTGGGATACGGTTCGCATGAGGCCTCCTAGTGGAGGCACCTCTGTCTTGTTGGATGTCGTCGTCTTGCTCATGGATACGTCTCCCACTGCTTGCTGTTGCTGTGGGAGAGCGGGGTCCGGGGTCCGCAGCGCGCGCGGGCCCGCACTGACAACTGCGAGCGCTTGCTCCCACGGCATGCCTGCAGTGGAGAACCCATGCCAGGAAGCACCCTGCTTGCCTCCAGGGTGCCCTGGGTTTCTTGGGGTTCGATGGTTTGGCCATGGAAAGCGTGACGCTCCCACACCAAAAGTCAATGGACGTCCTGGTGGACCTGTGTGGAAGGTTTCTTGTGGTCGAGCTCCTACTGTAAGGAACAACAAAAGAGTCGGTCGGCCGGTACAGCTTCTCAGGAGGCGCTCGTCCGCGCAGCCCAGATACAGGCCTATTCGATGCTCGTTTTGGGGACCTTCCTGGGGGCCACCTAATGGATCTGTTCGACTCAGGTTCGACTCAGGTTCGACTCAGATTCGACTCAGGTTCGACTCAGATTCGACTCAGGTTCGACTCATGTTCGACTCAGGTTCGACGCAGCTTCGACGCACGACTGGAGCGAGTGGCTCCAGGAAGGTCCCCAGAATGAGCATCTAAGGCCTGGTCCCGGGTCGGCTGCGCTGTTGGGCCTTGGCGTCGGCGTCGACGGACCCCCGCCGAGAGCGCCGTCGCGATCGTCGCGCCCGAGCGGGCGGGGACGGGGCGGGCGCGGGGGGGAGGGGGCAATCCAGGTGTCCTTGCGCCTCAGTTGACAGTCGATCCCTCCCCCGCATGCCTATGATGATTCCTCTGTCCGCGGAATCGTGGCACAGCCGACCTGCAGCAGAAAGACCACATCGTGCTAATTATGCGTAACCGGCAAGTGGAACTGCGTGCACAGGAGGAGGAGGAGGAGGAGGAGGAGGAGGAGGTGGCGGGTGAGCAGAAGAGGGGGGGGTGGTAAAAAAGAGGTGGTGCGAAAATTTGCTGCAACTGGTTACTGCCCAGCCGCCGCGCATCCGGCGCGGGGAGGCGTCGGAGGAGTCAGCTGCGCGAGCTGACGTGCAACCTCCCCCCTGTCTAAGGATGCAATTCCTGGGAGGTAACACTCAGCATTGACAGTGGTCGATCTTCGGCGGAAAACATGCCTGACCCGGAGTCCCACTCAATCCGGCCTCATCTTAGGTTTCACTTAGGCTGCTCCTCCTTCTCCGTGTCGTTTTCACCGGGCTGCATTTGGCCTCTCACCGTTCCCACGGAGACTTCCCTGGAGTTGTTCCCTGATTGTTTTTCTCTCTCAGAGCCGCTCGCGCCCACCGCGAGCCTCTCTCGCGCGCCAGCCGGGGCCTTCCGTTGACAACGGGGCGCCCGCAGTTGCCCTTCGCGCGCGTGCCGAGATCTCGCCCCAGGCGGCCCAGGCAAGGAAAAGGGTGGACGGCACGGGGCCAGGACGAGGCCAAATCCGTTCCAGAGCTTTCCGGAACGCTCTCAGAGCGTTCCGGAACGCTCTGAGCAGGCCGCGGCGTCCGAGACATCCCCTAAGAGCCGCGGGTTTTCGGAGATTCTCGATTTGTTTTCGCTCGAGCTGCTCCTCGTCCTGGCCTCGCCTTAGAGGACCCTCTTTCGTGCCCCCCGATCCTGCGCCAGGCTCCTCCTTCCTCCTCCTCCTCCTCCTCATCCTCATCCTCATCCTCATCCTCCTCCTCCTCCTCCTCCTCCCTCCTCCTCCCTCCTCGTCCTCCTCCTCCTCCTCCTCCTTCTCCTCGTCCTCCTCCTCCTCCTCGTCCTCCTCCTCCTTCTTCTCCTCCTCCTCCTCCCCCTCCTCCTCCTGCTCCCCCTCCTCCTCCTCCTCCTCCTCCTCCTCCTCCTCCTGCGGCCGCGGGCCGCGCGGGGCAGGAGTACGACGAGGACCCGCGGGCGGCCCAACCTTTGGGCGGGCGGAGCACGCCAAGCGGGAGGGGGGGAGGAGGAGGAGGAGAGCGGCGGGGAGGAGCAGAAGCGAGGAGGAGGAAGAGGAGGAGGAGGAGGAGGAGGAGGAGGAAGGCGAGAACGAGTACGAGGATGAGGACGAGGACTAAGAGGACGAGGAGGCTGAAGGCTGGAGGCTGAAGGCATGAGGCTGAAGGCATGAGGCCTAGGCGATGCAGGCCGCGCCCGTCGAAGCCGCCCGCGCGTCCGCGCGAGCTCCGGCAGCGCACCGGCCCCCCCAGGGGCCGGGACCTCGGGCGGGGCGTGCCTCGCGGCAGGCAGCCGCGGCGCTGCCCCTCGGCCTGGGCAGGCCTCGGGGCGGAGCCCCCGAGCTTTCCCAGGCCGAGTCCAGCCGTGGCGACGCTGAAGCACCCGGCCAGATCCCTCGTGATCGTCATCGCCCTTGCCCTCGTCCTGGGCCTCCTCTCATCCTCGCACACTCGTCGTCGTCGTCGTCGTCGTCGTCGCGGCCGTCGTCGTCGTCATCGTCTTCGTCGTCGTTGTCGTCGTCGTGGTCCTCGTCGTCGTCGTCCTCGTCATCTCACCCATTCCCATATTCACGACCCATCGAGCGGCGTCAGCCGCGCAGCCACCGATTGCCAGCATCATGAGGGGCAACGATATGGCGGAGGGATAGGCCGAGGGGAGGACGCATCGACCCCCAGGCGCCCATTGATCGCCGATAGTGGCCCGATAGCCCCAGCCTGCCCAGGCACGTGCGGGGTCGCTAGCCGATTCGAGGTCGATGTTTCCCCTCGTATGCCAGTCTCCCCTCCAATCGCTGCCCCTTGTGTCATCGTCGGACCGCGCAGGGCGAGAGGCCCGCTTCCTGCCGCTGCCGTCGCGCTCATTGTGGGCAGCCTTGCCACAAGGCTGGCCTGTGTGCGACGGCCATCTGATTTTGAAGAGGTCCGCGGTGCCCTCCGCCATCATCCAGACTTTGCCCAGGATCGCATGGTGCACGGACGTCTGACTCGCGGCTTCAGGAACGCGCCGCTTGCGAGCCATTGTTGAGACCCTTTTCCCCCAGCGAGGAACTCTTCGTCACGACCCAGTCTCCCTGCGGTCCGCCGTGTTTGAACCTGCGGCGTACGTCTGTACTCTGGAGACTTGACCGAAGCTGTGGCCGTGGGCGATGCGTGATCGCGATGCGGCTTGCCGTCGAGGGCGTCGTTTCGCTCCGTCGCCGCGCTCCGATATTGCCGCCTCGGAGCCGTTCTCCTCCACCGGTGGTCCCTTGCTGCTGCAGGTCACCACCCACCAAATCACCCCAACCCAACCCGAAGGCTTCAATTTGCCATCCATTTCCGTTGGGGGAGGGGGTCCCGTAACACCCCCAACCCGAAATTCGGGTCTTCGGGTTGAGTTGGGGTGGTTTGGTAGATAGTCAGCAGGGTGGGATGGTTGGTGCGACTCCCTCTGCGGCTGCGTGTTGGGCAGCCGCTCTCCCGACCTCGACGGGGCCCTCGGCGGTCACGGAAAAGTCCCAGAATTGAAGCGGGCAGCCGTGTACGGAACAGTTGGCCCGGCTCGTGCACATTGTCCAGCTTTTGAGCAATGCAAGCATGAATAAAATGTTAATGATGTATCATCAAGACGATGTGTTCAATATGGGAGTTTGTGAGCACATTGATTTACATGATTGACGCTTCGCGTTGCCCCACCAGTCCATCCAGAAACGATCAGCAGGGGATTCGGTGAATAAGGGGCGGCAGGACGCATGCAGTTGCGCAGCCGTCTTCGGGAAAACAAGGATCAAAAGGAGCTTCCCGCATTGAAGTTTAGATGGAAATCAGTGCAAACTACAATGGTGCTTCGATGAGGGTTGAGGGGTGTTTCGATGACTCGTAATGGCTGTTGCACGGAATTGTGTATTATACTCGCGTGCGTTTCGAAACTTGGAGCCATCTTGGGGTTCTCTTAGGGTTCTCTTGGGGCCCTCTTGGGGCCCTCCTGGAGCTCTTTCTTGGGGCTTTCTTGAGGTCCTCTTAGAGCCTTCTTGGAGCTCTCTTGGAGCTCGTTTGGGGCGTCTTGGGGCCCTCTTGGGGCTCTTTTGGGGGGTCTAGGGGCCTTCTTGGGGCTCTTTAAAAGATGCCTGAGGGGCCTCTTGGGGCCGTCTTGGAACCTTTCGCTTAAAAAAGACGGGGGGTTCTAATTTCCACCGCCCCCATCGGAGGCTTAGCAATGCCGGCTTGGGGCCCTCTTAGGTCGTTCTTGAAGCGCTCTTGGGGCCTTCTTGGGGCCCTCTTGGGCCCCTCGTGGGACTATCTTGGGCCAGCTTGGGGACCTCTTGAGGCCTCAAGAGCCCACCGGAGGCGAAAAAGCGAGAAGGCAAACAACATTGAGTTTCCTCAGGTATTCGAAGGTAGTTGGCCTCTTGGGGGAGTCCTCGGAGGGCTCGGAGGGCGGAGGGCTCGGAGGGCACTTGAAACCGTCTTGAGGCCGTCTTGAGGCCTCTTGGATGCGTGTCGGAGGCTATCTTGAGCCATCTGCCGCTATCTTGGGCCATCTTGGAGGCCATCTCGCACTCTCTGAAGCCCTCTTGGAGCCATCCTGGGCCGAAAAGGGCCATCTGACACCTCGCGGGGCAGCCCGTCCAGACGCAGGGAGGGGTGGGGAGGTAAACCTCCCGAGCAGGGAAAGAAAGGAGGTTGGAAAAGGAAACACTCTAGACCACCTGCGCCCAGAGGGCTGGTGGGATTAAACATGTTTTTTTGTTTTACTATATGCGATATGACGTATCATCAAACCAATCAAGTTTAGATCAAGCATGTGTGAGTTTTGTTGTTCTAGTTTCTGGAGAGATGGAGGTACTGGTAACAGCGGACGTGCGGCACCACGCAACAGAGCATCACCATGTGGTCCACATCCGCACTGACCTTGCCACGCTCAGCTCCGCGCGAGGCCACTGCCTGCTGCACGGCCACTGCATCTCACCACCGAGAGCTTTAAGTCGGGCGGGTCCCTCTACAGGAGGAATATCCAGAATAGCCAAAAACATTGTATGGGGACGATTTTGTCTACCATCTTTGACCATGTGTCAGCATGTTTTGGTTATTTGTTTCATTTGTCCTCCAAAACCCGCTTGTAGGAGGACGTGCCCGGCCTAAGAGCAGCTTGACCCTGCCGAGCACGCTCTCGTCCTGCAATTGGTAGTCCCGCCGTCGTTTGACGAGGACAGCTTCTCCAGTGGCTCGAGCAGCTCGAAGACCTCGAGGGCCCAGCCCGCCTCGAGATCCGAGGCCGGAATTTATACATGACCACCGCTGGGAGGATCAATTTTCGGGGATCTCGGCAGATGGTGGATATGGACATATTCGGGCCCCCGGGGGCCAACATACATCCATATCCACCGCCTGCCGGGGCAACCAGGACGTCGGTTCCCAGGCAGTGGATATGGATAAATCCCCGCCTCGAATAACAGGTCCAGGATGCATCGTGGACCCTCCCGTGCCTTCAGCAGTCCCTCCCGGGTACTTCGCTGCTTGCGTCACTCTCGGGAGCACCCTTAGAAAGGAGAGCGTCCCAAGGGA